GTTAATGCTCCGTGGGGGACGGTTTATTTGGAGTGGCCATGCCGTGCCACAATTGGGAAGAATCGAGTTGTGATGCCAAATAAATAAACTCTTCTCAGTGACTCACGTACACCATTGTTCGATCGTTAATGCTCCGTGGGGGACGGTTTATTTGGAGTGGCCATGCCGTGCCACAATTGGGAAGAATCGAGTCGTGATGCTAAATAAATAAACTCTTCTCAGTGACTCACGTACACCATTGTTCGATCGTTAATGCCCCGTGGGGGACGGTTTATTTGGAGTGGCCATGCCGTGCCACAATTGGGAAGAATCGAGTCGTGATGCTAAATAAATAAACTCTTCTCAGTAACTCACATACACCATTGTTCGATCGTTAATGCCCCGTGGGGGATGGTTTATTTGGAGTGGCCATGCCTACCCAATCCCCTCAGTACCACTACATTCACTAGGAGGGGAGGTCACCCTGAACTTCTAGTGACTAACTATTGACGATCCTAAACGTTTCCCACAGATGGGATTCAACATTTGTTTCTGAGTAATTTGCTACAGAAACAATCTATTAACTATGATATATGATAAAAAAGATCACTTTTAAAGGTATTATAAATCGCTTTTATCGTAAGAAAGCGCTAATAAATTTGTACGTAATATGTTATTTAGAATAACATTAATTTTAGTACAGTTAGAAGCGTTACATGAATAATTACTTTTATTTGAAATGTTTTCTTTTAAATTCCACATTTTGATTCAGTTGATCGGACGACATGCGATCAAAGAGGAAAGTTTTTCTGCTCAGATGGATTTTGCATTCCTTCTTCTTTGAAGTGTGATGGAAATAGTGACTGCAATATTGGAGAAGATGAGATGAATTGTAGTAAGTCCACTAAAATTAAGACACAAAAGAATACGACAAACCTGGGATAAAATTTACTTACTACAAAAGTCCATGTCACTAAAATTAAGACACAAAAGAATACGACAAACCTGGGATAAAATTTAACTTTAAGTTGTTACTGTGGCATGGACTTTTATAGTAAGTAAATTTTATCCGGTGTTTGTCTTACTCTTTTGTGTCTTAATTTTATGAAACTTTGAATTGTTACTGTGACATAGACTTTTGTAGTAAATAAATTTTATCCCGGGTTTGTCTTATTCTTTTGTGTGTTAATTTTATGAAACTTTAAGTTGTTACTGTGGCATGGACTTTTGTAGTAAGTAAATTTTATCCGGGGTTTGTCTTATTCTTTTGGGTCTTAATTTTATGGAATTTTAAGTTGTTACTGTGACATGGACTTTTGTAGTAAGTAAAGTTTCTCCCGCGTTTTGTCTTATTCTTTTGTCTCTTAATTTTATGGAATTTTAAGTTGTTACTGTGGCATGGACTTTTTACGTTTTCATTTAAATGACCAGTGTTGTACTTCAATTTTAAATACGTAATAAACACGAATTTTGAGCCTTTATTCAATTAATAATTCATTGAATTACATATTTTCATATTTTACATTTCAGTAAACTTGGAAATATTATTCAACTTCTCAGAGTGTTAAAGCAGCATAAAAGTTTTGGAGATTAATAATGATATGAAGTTTTGGAGTCAGTAATGATGTAATGAAAGGTTCAAATACGAATAATTTGTAGTTAACAATGAAATAGTGATTTGATTTGAATGAAGTTAAAGGTATTACAATACAAAATGTGTTGGCAAGGAAAAAGCAATATCTAGAACAAGCAAAGTGAAACACTCACCAAACAGAAATAAGTTTATTGACGAATTTTTAAACAATGTTTCTGGCAATCTCTTTTTCAAGGTTGCGGTGTGTTCTCTTCTACAAAAGTATCATGTTTCAGTAAAAATAAACAATGTATGTCGTGTAAATCATGTATTCTTTTTCACCGTAAAGTAACAATGATATGAAGTTTAATTTTGGAGAGCAATTGACAACAATATAAAATTTACCTTTCTATATGCAAATAACACAACAATGTTACAAAGTTAACTGAAACGTGTGTACGGAGGTACATTATGATAATACAATAGTAAATTGTTAACTGTTGTTAACTCAAACTTATATATGGAGGAACATTGTGCTAATACAATACTACACTGTCAACTATTGTTGGCTCAAACTTATGTACAGAGGTATATTATGCTAATATAATAGCAAATTGTCAACTATTGTTAACTCAAACACCTATGTAGTAGTCTCTGGCATTTTTTTAAGAATATGAAGTATACTGTTTGTAATTGTCAGTAAAAATATATAACGCAAATATTATGACACGTAATATATATATATTATATATTCATTATATATATATATATAATTAAAAAGATATAAAGCAACTGTTTTTACTTTCTGAGACAGTTATATGACATTTATTAAATGATTAAAAGCCTTATAAAGTTTATTTTGTCTTATTAGCGACACAATAATGTTATCTCGAACCCCCTCATGTTTTCAGCATGTTCTAATAACGAGTACCAGTGCATGGATGGTGCCTGTATTCCTGATTTTGCGAGATGTGACGGTCGTACAGATTGTAATGACGGAAGTGACGAAATTGAGTGTGGTAAGTTGTCGTACATTAATATCTTAGTTGTATTTGTACGCATGGATTGAGGGAATAGAGCCTGGTTTAATCTGAGGAATTGCTAGGAAGGGTTGCATTTTCGTCTTGGATATTAAAACTACGTACTAATAACTCACAGCTGCATTTTACTATTGGTTCTCAATCTATGATTCACTAAGAACTAGCGGTTCTTGGAATTGTTGCATAATTACACAAAGGAAGTGGCAATATAATGTAGAGATCCAATTGTGGTCCCCGAGAACGAAAAGTTTTGAGAAACACCGCTCTAAATAGGATATACTTTCATTGTGTAGGTCACTGGTTAGGTCACATTTGAAGTATTGTGTTGGGTCCTGGGCTCCATAACTTAGGAAGGACATTGAATTGTTGGAAAGGATTTGAAGGAGGACTACTAGGATGATACTTTGGATGGAAATATTGTTACAGAAGGACTGGTTTAAGATCTGTGAAATTATTTTCTATTTGAAAAATAAGAGTTAGAGGGGGATCTGATGGAAGTGTTTAACGTTGTTAAGAAAATTAATTGTGTTGATGCGTCGCATCTTTCCTTCTTACTTAATGGTGAGAATGGTAGGACTAGGGTACAGAAACATAAATTCTGGCATGGCAGGTATCATCTTCAACTAAGACAGTTTTTGACTGGAATGGGTTGTCTTCAGATGTGGTAAATTTAAGGGAGTTTAGAAGAAGGCTTGATAAATATTTAACTTATAAGGGCTGGCATTGAATGTTTTTTTCTTTTTTTTAAGTTTAGTTTAGTGGATGGGATGGCCTAATGGACTAATAGGTCCCTAGTTATTATTAAATTTTATGTTGTGTTAAAGCTTAAATGGAAATAAAAACACACTATTAAAGCATTACGAATATCTCCATAATTCCAAAATATCCAGAGAATTATGAAGGGACTTGTATAGCCGCGGTCTGAGGATATCAAAAGTGTTTAATAAGAATCTAGTACCTATGATCTGAAAGTAATAAGGAGATTATTAAAAAAATAATAGTAATGATCTGATAATGTTCTTTAAGGGGACTACATAGGACCTAATAACTAGAACTTAAGAAAATTATGAAGGTTATTAAGGGCCTAGTAGCTACGACTTGAGAATATTATGAGGGTTATTAAGGACCTAATAACTAGAACTTAAGAAAATTATGAAGGTTATTAAGGACCTAGTAGCTACGACTTGAGAATATTATGAGGGTTATTAAGGACCTTATAGCTACAACCTGAGAATATTATGAGGGTTATTAAGGACCAAGTAGTTACGACCTGAGAATATTATGAGGGTTATTAAGGACCTAATAGCTACGACCTGAGAATATTATGAGGGTTATTAAGGACCAAATAGCTACGACCTGAGAATATTATGAGGGTTATTAAGGAC